TGCGTTCACCCCCTTCTCCTCGCCTCATCTCCGTCACCGCCGTACCGGAGGTGCGTTCTTTTACAAATCTCCACATCGGCAAAGTTTTCCCAAAATTAAGCCGACACGAACCAAATCAAATGTCTCACTTGTTGGGTCCAGTACGAAGTGAAACAATTCACTACAACGGACTCAATCCATAACAAGTCGAGACCCAAATGAGAATGAGACCACTCTCCACACATCGTTGTCTACTCACCAAATCGGCTGCATCATAAAATGATTGCCTACGTATCCTCTTGCCCAATGAATCAAGCCTTCACGCTACGTTACCTAGACTCAGGTACGAGTATCCGATACGGGTGCGGATCCGAGTGTCCGATACGAAATTTTTGAAAATTTTGGATACGGGGACATCGTCCTAAATTTCGACACGGGTACGGGGATACGATAATAAAAAAATATTAAAAGTTTAATCAACAATTCAGCATGTGAAAGACTTGGTAATTTTTCAACTTCCATCTTTAACTCTTCATTACCTGCAAGCAATTAACAAATTTTCAATAATATTTTACACTGCTCCAACTTATCCAGGCTATCTATATTTACACCCAACTTGAAGCCCAACTCAACAAATCCCCATATCCATCAGCCCACACACTCATATACATAGAATATGCTACAGTATTATCCAGCGGCCTAACTAAAGCCCAACACAACACAATCCATGTATAAAAGCCAAGCAATACCCCAGCTCCTCTCCAGAACCCTAGAGCTCGTTCCCTCTTCCCGTAGTCGTCGCCGCAGCAGCTGAAGCAAGCAAGCGAAGATGCCACCAAAGATCAATCCCTCTCAAGTCGTGGACGTGTACGGCAGGGTCACCGACGGTGAGGTGGGGGCTGCGAGCTCCATGGCCTCGAAGATCGGGCCCTTCTTCCTCAAGAACTGCAGGTAAGTCGGAGCCCTTCTTTCATCTTTTCTTTCTCTATTTTTTTGTATTTTCGATTCACATGCCTCGTCGTATCCGAGTACCGACCACTGTATCCGACCCGTATTTCATACCCGGATCGGTGTCGGGTCGTATCGACGCCGGTACGACGGTCAAACCGTCGTGTCTGAGTAACGTAGCCTTCACGTAGTTCACCCAACGGCCTCTAAAGGCCCTCAATCAAATAGAAGAGTTCTCAACTCTTCACCAACAAATCTGTGGTTGATATAACTCCAAATTGTCCCAATGTGTAACGAACCAAACACCTCCACCTGAGGTGAACCAATGGCCATATCCAAACTACGTCGACCAGCTGCACTCGAATCAAACAACTCATCAACTGCATCCAAATCCAAGTGATCCCCAAACTATGTCACCTCAGCTGGAATCCCAAACGATGCAGAATGACCTGGAGTATGTAGAGTAATCTCCACCCAATGTCGAGTAGCATCACTCTCCACCCGCTGCGATGTCCCTATGATCTGATCAACATTCTCCACCTATCAAGAGTCAAATATGACATACCTGCTCAGAATAAAACCAGAGTCTCCCAACTAATAACCAAATGAGCCTCTGAATCCCAAATGTGCTATCGGATTAAATCTCATATCCTCGATGTGACCAAATACTGGGCAACCAAACATCCGACGTAACCCAAAATCTGAAGTAGCTCCACCAGATCTAAAATCTCCAAACGCAGCAGTCGACAACCTATGACGAAGATGACCTAAATATGTCGAAGCCCGATCATCATAACCAATGCTCGACATCAAACGCTGATCCTCCAGAAAGGAACAACTCACCAAATCTGTCATCTCATCTCGCCGCCCTAATGTTTTCCCTCCAATGAAGTGTCTCAAACTGCCATGAGCTCAGCACAAACGCAGAAAAGAACAACGGATTATCTTTCTACCAATACATTTTCTCCATCTGTTGTTGACTACTAGGACTTCAAACCAACGGGACTTGGTTGTAACCCACAAATACCTAGTACAATCCCTAACTACGGAAATCATATATCGATTACCTCCCAATGATGCCTCATTGGAAGGCCCCCAAACGCCTGACTGAACACCACCTAAAAAACCCCTCGATCGATGGATAGAAGTGCTAAACTTTACCTTGGTCTTCTTGCTCATCCCAATGTGCTCAAATGACTTCAATTTGCAGGTCAAAGCACTTCTCAATAACCTATGCACAACATAGCTAATCAAATACCCCAGCGTCAACAAACACCATAGTCTAGCTAAATCCAATGAAGTCGTCAGCTCTCTATCAATCACCATGCTTCCAAGCAAATAATACAAATTGCTCTTTCTGACGCCCTTCATCACAATTATGGATCCCGATGTGACCTTCAAACGTGCTTCTACCAAGGTCACTCTACAGCCTGATGTCACCAAAGCTCCAAGTGAAATGATGTTCTTCTTCAACTGAGGAACGAACCTCACTTTATCCAATTCCCGAATCACTCCGTCACTCATCCGAATACGAACGGTACCAATACCACCAATAAGGCATTCGTGATCATTACCCATGAGCACGACATCCCTTCTTTTCAACTCCTGAAAGCTGGAGAACTCATCCATCCTAGGGCAAATATGATAAGAAGCATCCGAATCTAACATCCACTCGGTGGAGTCGGTAATACAAACTAACGGTAGTGCAGATAACGAGTAGCCCGAAGAATCCGAATCTGAATTGTCACCCCTAGCCCTGGCAACATTCACCTCTGAAGCTTGAATAGCTTTTCCCCTATTCTTCCCGACTCGATCATTCAACTTTGGACATTCGGCTTTCCAATATTCATCTTCTTTACAAAAGGCACACTGGTTCCTACGAACTCTAGAATGTACCCCTCTAGACTATGACCTCCTACCTTGATTTGGACTCTTTGCTCTTGCGACCAATGCCTCCGCTACAGGCTCAACAGAAGTCTTCTTATCTTTCTTTCGAAGCTGATAATTCACAAGTACAGCGGTGACCTCACTATACGAAAGAGATGTCTTCTCATTAATAAGAGTAAGAACGAAGGTCTCATATTCCTCGTCAGGCAAGGAACTCAACAACAACAACGCCTTGTCTTCATCTTCTATCATCATATCTACATTCGCCAAATCTGCAAGAAGCTTCGTGTAGTGGTTCATGTGATCACTAATAGATGTCCCTTTCTTTAATTGGAAGCGATAAAGTCTCCTCTTCAAATACAAGCGATTTTCAACACACTTCGTCAAATATTTGCTCTCTAGGACCTCCCAAATCTTCTTAGCCGAAGTTTCATTCATCACATCATATTTTAGATCTTGAGTGAGATAAGACCTAATCACACCATATGATGTTCGATTCATTTTCTTCCAAACATTCTCATCAATGTCGTCCGGTTTCCCGTCCAACTCCAAAGTATCTTCCAAATTTTACGCGTTAAGCGCATCCAAGACCTTGCATCGCCAAAGTCCAAAATTATTTGTGCCATTAAACTTCTCCATGTCTATCTTCATAGAGTGAATATTCAAACTTTGGACGGTCTTCACACCGGAAAAATCTTCCGCAACTCCATCTTTCCCGGCCATATATCTCAAGGCATCAACAGACCAATGCGGAACAAACGAAGAATAGATCCAAACTGATAAAGAGAAAAAAAATTTATCTCCAGCTGAAACTCTAATAAGAGCCTTCAAAAGATCTCACCCCCACACGATGGAAACGAGATCCATAAATAGGAAAAAATCCCACCTTTATCACTAATTGAAGCTCTAGCCGAGCTTCCAAATCGATCTACTCTTCCAAATAGCCCAAGCGTAGCCTAGAGCTCTAATACCACTTGTGCTCTGATACCACTTGTTGGGATTTATGCCCGAGAACAAATACAAAGGCCGAGAGAGAAGGACTAACACAATCACAATAATGGCACAAACACAAACAAGCAATTTTTACGTGGTTCGGTAATTTTGCATATGTCCACGGGAGCGGCACAATTAATTTCTTATTAATCACAAGAAATTATAAATAAGAGAGAGGATATCAAACTTGAGATCTCTCAACAAATAGCAGGTGATTTTAATCTAAAATCACCGCTCAAAATACTCTCTCTTAATTACCCCAAAGAAACCCTAATTTTTCAACACCAACCCCTTATCGTCTAACTTAATGAGAACATGAACAATTTGGGTTCACAAATTGGAGAGGGAATGGAGCTCAAAACCAAATAGGGGAGACGACGAAAGGAGCTCTCTCTCTCTCTCTGCTCAACTCCGTCGCCTCTCACTCTGCTCCGCTCCCTACTGCTGCCGCTCACCTTCTGCTCGTGAATAGGGTTTCCCTTTTATAGGGAAACCCTAGGTCTTCAGGCGAGCTCCACGCCAGCTAGCTCCAGCTGGCTCCAACCAAATCAGGTGAGTTCCTCGCCAGCTTGTCTACAGCTGGCCCCACCACGCAGGCGAGCTCGAACCTTGACAGGCGAGCTCAAACCAGCGCCCTTCGACCTCGCCATCAGGCAAGTACCTCGCCTATCTAACTTCAGGCGATCTCAACCTCGCCTCGAACCATCTCGCCCGCTGGCGAGCACCTCCTCGCCTGAACCACCTCGCCCCCCTGTACAGGTGCGTTCGCCCCCTTCACCTCGCCTCATTTCCGTCGTCGCCGTACCAGAGGTGTGTTCTTCTACAGGTAGCACAAAGGAGAACTGGTTTAACTATTATTCTTTTTGCTTAATTTTGAAGTATCATGGCTTAAATTTGAAACTACAGAATCTACCTCTGAAATTTGAAGTTTAAATAAGAAAGAAACAAAAACTATAAGTGGAGTTTCTGAGACATTGTTTTAAATCATTTCTGTTTCTATATTTTTTGTCTCTGAATTTTTTTTAGCATATATAAAGAAAAACTTAAACCAAGTTTATACCAGTTGCTGGTGAATGCAAAAATATACTATTGATTGAAGGTTTCCTGTCATAACTCTTGTTGGTCAACTTGCAGATGGAAGTTTTCAGTACAAAGATCCAACTTTCTGAGTTACAATTGGACACATCTACATTCGGCATATTTCTTTTACTTGCTACTAATTCTTGCTATTACTAGTTAATACATGTGATCTAATTCATTTTCTTGGATCCTAATATTACCGACATGTATCTTCTTTTTTTTCCCTTTTAACTTGGACAGAGGCAATCTTTGTTAGAGTTTATGAAGAAAGAATGGATCTCCTAAGAGCAGTTATAATAGGTCCAGCAGGAACTCCTTATCATGATGGCCTCTTTTTCTTCGACTTCCAGTTTACAGCCAACTATCCCAATGAACCTCCAGTGCGTGAATCTTGAAGTTTGAACCATTCTTCTATGCTATTTAAGCCTCAAATTATTCCTGAATATTTTATGTATTTCTATTCAGAAAGCATACTATCGCTCTGGTGGACTTCGGCTCAATCCCAACCTGTACGCCGATGGGACGGTCTGTCTCAGCCTACTGAACACGTGGTATGGTAAAGGATGCGAGAAGTGGGATCCGAAAAGATCGACCATGCTTCAGATTCTCGTCTCCATCCAAGGTTTAGTTCTCAATGCGAAACCTTATTACAACGAGCCAATATCATGGCCTAGCGTCACTCCTTGGGGAAAGAAGGGTGCCTTTGCTTACAACGAATCTGCTTTCCTCCTCTCCTGCAGAACAATGATATATTCCCTTCGAAAGCCTCCATTGGTAAGGAACATGTTTTTGTCGTTAATATACTTGTGAAGGTTATTATGGCTTTTTTTTTTCAACGCCCTGTTTGAATTGGGGTGAATGGAGAAGAGGGAAGGGAGATGTAAAAGCTTACACCATTTGGGAGTTTTTTTTTCAAGGGGAAATGGAGGGTAAAAGAGGTGAAAAATTTACACCTCAATTAACCACCAATCTAGATGAAATTAACCGTACAAAAGACTCTAAGGTAGTAACTTGACACTTGAGCGATGCAAGAAAACAAAATTATATTTTCCTAGAAAAATGTGATCACCAGATCCTACGAGTTTGGCTAAACTGTAGATGATTTCTGTTGGTTTTTGTGCCACTGACAACTAAAGTACTATGTTTGTACAAGTCACTCAAATATCTTCTTGATTTTGGCAGCATTTCAAAGAATTTGTTGCTGATCATTTCCAAAGGCATGGGCTCAGCATCCTCATGGAATGCAGAGCCTACTCCCATGGTATTCAAGTTGGTTGTGCTGTTGATGAGAGCGATCAGGCAGTAAGCAAGAAGATGAAGGGTAGCTCAGAAGATTTTAAGGTCAATGTTAAAAAACTCATCGATGAACTTTTGAAGGAGTTTACTGCCAAAGGAGTTGATTGCAGGCAATTTCAAATGCTGAAAGCTGAAGTTGGAGAAACTTCTGCTAGTGTAAGTGCAACACGCAAAAATGAAACTGAAGCTGACAGCAAAAAGAAGGCTAAACCTGGAGAAACTTCAACCAGTGGCAAAGAAGCGAGGAGTACTATAAATTTGGAGAAACTTAAACCCGTGGCAACACAACATATGAAAAAAGCTGCAGGAGCTGATGTTAAAGGGAAGGCCAAAGCTGGGGACCCTAAAGAAGCAAATGGCAAAGTGAAGCGTTTCTGTCAATATTTGCTCAAGCTGGGGAAGAAAGTTTTGCCTCTCGAAAACTAGTTGATTTCTAAGTTGATAATAGGATTAAGTCTGTTTAGTATTAGATTTGTGGGTTTAATATAGAAGTTGCTTACGTTGGGATTTATATTGACCGTGGATATTTACAATGTTACATTAAACGCTGGGCGCTCCTGGGCGCCGGACTTGGCGCCCAGCGCTTAGACGCCTAGGCGGGCGCCTAAGCGGTTTCTGGGCGGTTTTTTTCTTCTGGGCGGTTTTTCTTTTTTTAATTGTGATACTTGAAGATAAATATATATACTCAATCAACAATGCATAAATACAAAAATACCAACACAACACATATGCTATCCAAAGTATAATAGTCAATCAAAGATGCATACATACTAAATGACAAGGCATATAATATCCAATAACTAGAAGTTTATGTCCCAAAATATCAGCAAAAAGATAGTCAAACAGGAATAGTCTAGATGTAATATAATGAATTAACAATATGCATCTAATCTAATGTCATCATCAAACATCATCATCATCATGAAGTTCCTCCTCTACTCCATCATCGCTATCCTCTCCAGAATCCATCTCCACACAATCCTCCTCTTCGTCTGAAACATCATCATCCGAGACAAGAGGCTCTTCTTCATCATCTATCACAGAAGTAGAAGCACTTGAAGGTCCTGCTAGCCTAGAACTCCTCCTATTCTCCGCAGCCTCAGCCGCTCCCGATATACCCTCTACCATCCTCCAAGTAAGACCTGAGCCAGGATGAACTTCTTCCTCATCATCGGAGCCTGCTCCTTCTAGGATCCATGCTCGTGCCTTACTACGATCAGTAGATAGTAGTAGGTTCTTGTTTTCTCCTCTCCTCTTCTTCTGGTTGAGCTTTGAGTTAAACTTCACATAGACTAGTTCCTCTAACCTCTTCGATTCCAATCTATTCCTCTTCTTCGTATGAATCTTCAAAAGTAAAGGACACAAATTAGAAAACACAACTAAGAAGAATTTCATATTTTTCATAAGTTTAGAAATTAGTTTACCCCCTCAAATGTGCTCCAATTCCTTTCACAACCAGAAGAGCTGCTTGTCAAGTTGAGAAGTTTCATAGCCATATTTTGCATGAAGGGACAATCACCACCATGCAAATACCACCAATTAGCTACAAAAAATAATATATTATTAGTTGATTCACTACCACAATGGCACAATAGATAACTTATAAGTCATATATGATTCAATTTCTAAAATTATTTTACCTGGGTTCAAGTCTGATTTCTCTCTAGCCTTCACCGCTCCAATCCTAGCAAATGAACCCTTTCCTTCTCTGTATCTCTCCAACTCTTGAGTATGAATTTCAACTTGTTGCTCTACATCAGGATAGAACAACTCCACCACATCTAGAAATCCATCTTTCGCCCTTCTGCAATTCTTCACTACATCATCCCTATAGAAATAGTAAGGGTTGAGGTAGTAAGAAGCCATATGCAAGGGAGAAAAGAGCCGATCCTTGGACTTCCCATCTATAATATCAATCACGGGCTTAAAATCCTTCTCCTTATTCTTGAAAACTTGAATGATCTCCTTCTTCATATCTTCAAGCATCCCCACCACAAATCCCATTGAGGGTTTGTAGTCACTATCGACTACCCTCAACAATCGAAAAATAGGAGCATACACCTTCAAGATCTTGGCCACCGCTGTCCACCAACTATCACTCATAGCAATCGCCTCCACCTTAGCGCCTTTAGCGGTCTTTGCAAGCTTGCATCTCACCCATGCTTCATCGGAAAACATAAATCTCAACTTCCCTTTCTTCTCAAGAAGACTCCGCAGAGTCAAAAATGTAGTGGCGAAACGAGTAACTCCAGGTCTCACAATGTCCCTTTTGTCACAAATGCGACGCATCATAGACAAAGTCTTGTGATGACTATAGATAAAGATGGTGAGGGTCCTCGCCTTCTCAATTGCTCCTTTGAATAAACTCAACTTCCCGATGCTTTCAAGCATCAGGTCAACAGTGTGTGCTGCACAACTAGTCCAAAAAATCCTCGGCCTCCTCCTATATAAAAGCTCCTTCGCGGCCATATTTGCAGCTGCATTATCCGTGACAACCTGAATGACTTTATCAGCTCCAATCTGCTCAATAGCCGTATTAACCCACTCAAATATATATTGTCCTGTATGTGCTTCCTCTTTGGTTTCAATTGACTTATGAAAAGTTGTCCCCAATCTGCAGTGGATGCAAAGATTCATTACCGACCGCATCTTTCTGTCCGACCAAGCATCAGTCATAATGGAACATCCAGTCTTGCCCCACTCCTCCTCATGCGTCTTTAAGGAGACTTTTGTTCTCTCAACAGCTCTTCGCAATAAGGGCTCCCTCAACATGTACATGCTGGGAGGCCTGTAGCTCGGTCCATAGTCTCCAATAGCCATGCATGCCTTCGTAAAAGAATCCGTGGAGATGGCATGAAAGGGGATGGCATTTTCATATGCCCAAGTAGCCAACTGATCATGCACCCAATCTCTCTTCTCCTTCAGGAAAGAATCCTTCACTCCTGTCTGCTTCATTTTCCCTTTCAACCTTTTCGCTAGCTCTGGATCATTAGCGGTGTAAGCATCCATCGGCCCAACAGTAGGCTCTCTAGACCTCTTTGAAGA